GATGGGAGATTCAGAGACAGACTGAAGCTGGACGATCAAACTGGATCTCTGACCATCACAAACACAACAACTGAACATACTGGAGTTTATCAACTAGAGATAAGTGGAGTGAAATCGTCATCAAAATTATTTAATGTTTCAGTCTACGGTGAGTAGAGATCATTTGTCCAAATGTTCACATATTCTCGTTTTATTTTACTTGAACTATTAAGAATATATGAAGAATCACAGTGTGTGAGATGACAAAAACACTAACTGATATTAAACATTCATGCACATTAAACAAAGCATTTATTTTAACAAGTTCATCCATATTCCAATTTATTCTCTTATCTTTCTCAGCTCGTCTGCCTGTTCCTGTCATCAGCAGAAACTGTTCATCATCATCATCATCATCATCATCATCATCATCATCAAATTGTCCATTGGTGTGTTCATCAGTGTTGAATGTGAGTGATGCGACTCTCTCCTGGTACGCAGGAATGAGTGTATTGTCCAGCATCAGTGTGTGTGATCTCAGCATCAGTCTCTCTCTACCTCTGGAGGTGGAATATCAGGATAAAAACACCTACAGCTGTGTGCTGAACAATCCCATCAGCAACCAGACCACACATCTGGACATCAACACACTCTGTCACACATGTGCAGGTACAGCAGCACTGATGATATATGTGTGTGTTTACTGACCTGATCTCTGTCTTCTGGTGTAGATCAGACTAATTCCATCACACTTTCTTTATCATTACAGCACCGGACGCACAGTCTTCTTCACACTCTCCAGTGTCTCTGATAGTGTTGATCTCTGCTGGATCTCTGATGATTGTTGTTATAGTTGTGATCTTCTGCATCTGCAAGAAAACTGATGGAGAAGGCAAGTGTTACCTACTGCTAATAAGAAAGAATTGGTTATTGGATGTTTTGTATTTAATGGATTTTTTTTATTATTTTGTTATAGTTGTTGACGATGAAAGAGTTCCGAATAGAGATAATGAAGAGATCACTTATGCTAATCCAACATTCTACAAACGAAATACACAGAAACTGGTGAGGTCATTTTTATTGCAAGTTTTTTTTTTTGTCTTATAGGATCTGACACACACATAATATACATATTAATAAAGACACTAGAGTTTTTAGTGTTCTGCTCTGATGGCTTCAGTAGATCAGTGGTTCTCAACTGTACGTCTGATAGCAGATAGCTGGGGGAAATGGATGCAAATAATACAGTTAGCATAGCATTCATAATTAGGGTATAGCAAAAAAAATCGATTTTTAAAATGGAAGAGGATGTTATTGTTGTCAATAGTTTGTGTGTCCAATCAAACTGCATAGAATTTGATTCAATTTTATTGGTGCACAATATTTGGCACAGTACTCATTTTAGCCTGGTAAATCTCACTTTTGCTGCAGAATCTGAACTATGCATTTACCACAAAAAAAAGTTAGTTATTTTATATTTAATTAAATTACTTTTTAATTAAAAAAATGTAATTCTATTTTTGTATCTTGTGGTGTTTTTTTACAGACAGCTAGAGAGGAGAATCACACAGAGTATGCGGTTGTCTGCATAAGATGAAGAAACTCATTTGGCGTTTGGATTTAGTGTGTGAACTCTGATCTTCATTACCTTTGGACAAGTTTTGGGATTATTGAAAAAAAAAAAATCTCATAATGTACATCGACTACGTGATACTAAAAATCAGCTCAGTTTGAGAGTATTGAGTAAAAACCTGTTATGGTCTGATCTAAATATACAGACATGTGGTTTGATCTGTTGCTAAAACAAACAGCATGTGCATAAGAGTGCTGGCCTATTATTGAACTTTTGTGGTAGATGTGCATTTGAGAGGGCATGATAGAGGTGTGAAAACAGCCTGCAGTTGAAGGACTTTTTCCATTCATGCTAATGTGAAACTCAGTTTACTTGTTGCCATGCAATAGTGACTCTATCCATCATAATCTCAGACAAATAATACATTCTCTCAAATCAAACAATGATTTAATTTGAAACCTTACTGTGTGAACGTGCAAATGTCATGCATTTGTTGTAAGTGAAAACTTAAATGTAATATGTGTGCAACACATGCTTGCTCGCGTCACTTTTGTTGCCTATTTAGTTCTTAAAACTTTGGTTTGGCTTTCAATGTGTGAACACAGAAAAGCACTGACCATGTTCCTGGATAAGCATCTTTGTTGATCCTGGAACAACGTTTTAATCAACCAATCAGATTTGAGAGACAAGAATACAGTTTATGTCAAGTTTTGGCTTCCAACCTGTCAGCAAACAGAAGAATACAGCACAAAGGTAACTTCCACAAAGTGTGTTTATTGGCAGGAGTAAGCACAATTTGACCAAATTTTAATACACCAATAATGGAGGTTCAAAAACTCTTTTATCAACATGCCGTTATTATAATAAACATTACAATGTAACTGATTATACAGAAGTGCATAAACTTTTGAGGAAAGCTTTGCTCTGACGACACATTCCTGTCATTGGTGATAGCCTACCCTATATACAAGATGGAACTAGTGTTCATTTTTAGAAAAGAAAAACATCCCGGTATGAGAGACAAACCAAAACTTTAACATTTTTATATTGTTCAGGCAATATGTATAAAAAAATAAAAATAATAAAAACATTGTATGGAAAACCTAATAATGTGGATCTGTTTTGGTTCAAAATGTATTCCCAACAACAAGAATACAGTGTTAGGCTACACTTCATTTCTGTAGTGATGGGCAGATCGAGGCTTCGTGAAGCAATGAAACAGTTGAACCAAATGGGCCGTATTGTTTCGAGGCTTCCAACACCACAATCAATCCGACACCTGTCTCCACTGTGACACCTATGGTCACTTGCAGGTGTTAATCTGAAACAACCTTGACGAGCCATTAAAAAATGTGTTGTTTTTTATTATTGTATTTTTCTAATATGTGAAGCTTGTAACCTGTAGGCTCCTCAATGTGCATAATGTTATTTTGGTCCTGCAAAATGAATATTATAAAAGAAATCAAGCCACAATGTATCACTTTTTTAGAGATTTTTATTAAAAAATATGAATTTCTCTGCTGTGGAAAGACTTAGCCTACTTCTTTTTTTACAGATAATTTCTCCAGCCTTTGAAAAAATCCCCTGGGACATTTGTTGCTGCTGGCATGCAAAGATATTTTTTAGCTAGGACATACAAATGAGGAAAGATTACTGCTCTCTCTTTCCAGTAGGTTGGTGGATCATGAGTTCTGGGCAAATCTATCTGTCTATAGGCTATATTTATATCTATGCATCTATTAATGTGTCACTATATGTATACTCTGTCTGTCTCTAGCCTATCCGTCAATGTGTTGTGTACATTTAAATGTAAGCCTAAATAGTCTATAACTAATCAAATAGCACTATGTCACTATATCACCAAAATCCGCTATATCAAAATCAAACTCCTCTCACAAAAACCCACGAGGTCAAAATGCGTTGATTTCACTTTTATACAGATGTGCGATTGTGTGGTCTGTTGTTCCCGACCGTGTCAATCAAACGCTGATTCGGCGGATCACACCTGATGAAACAGTGAAACACTTCGAGGCTTCCTTTGGCCATAGTCACGTGACATGGGTGTTTTGAATCACGCTTCGGATCAGTGTTTCGAAACATCTGTGCTTCGGGATCTCGCAAAGCTTCGGAACGACTGTTTCGTGTCAGCCATCCTTACATTTCTGTACATAAATATATAAGACAGACCCTGCTCTCAACCACACTTTACTCCACAGGGTTTGGGGTTTTCAAAATGTATTGATTGAGAGACAGGCAATCATTGAAGGGTGTGTGTGTGTGTGAGCACTAGGGGGCGCTTAGGCTTGAGTACAGGTAAAAATCAAGGGGGTAATCCATCAACCGGAAGTTGAAGCCGGCCGGGTGCCGCCATGTTGTAGCAGAACTTCACTTGCGTTAGCATTTCCATTGACTCCCATTCATTTTGGCGTCACTTTGACAGCGAATAACTTTACATCTGAGGCGTTTAAAGACTCCATTTGTCCATTATTTATTTCTAAAGAAACACGACAATGTATAAAGGGCTCCATTACCTTCTATGTTACATTATGGCCCCGTAGAAACAGATATTGTAAAAATAGGCTAACGATTGCGTCATAACCACTCGACTCTCTGTCGCGCTGTACAGAAATTACCGTACAGACAGGAGGAGAAGCTCGCAGGCAATCGGGGGGACGTCCCGTCAAGAGAGAAGCCCATAGATAATGAGTCCATAAAAGCAACGGAATAATTACTCCTGCTCACTCACGCCAAAGGACTCTGCTCAAGTTCCCCGTCTCTGCAAGATTAACGTTGGCAATTTTCACGCACAGCTACTAGAAGATTAACGTCTGTCAGACAGGTTGCTCACGTCATCAAGCTTAGTTTGAGTCGGTTTGAGTCTGCGCGTCAGGAACGGAAGTGCTCAAAAATCGCTAAAAATGGGCTTCAACTGTCTCAACTGAGTTCCAATGAGATGGCTCTGTCCACTTCTTATACTGTCTATGGTAAAAATGGATGGGTGTGTTTACAATTATAGAGGAAATTTATTCATTTGAGGTCTGCAATAAAACAGGAATAAAGAAAATAAGTAGGCCTTTGTTAATATGAACAGTATTATAAATAGGCTACAGACGAATAAGTCTGTAAAAAATACAAGAGAAATATCAACAATAACAGAAAAAGCTGAACATTGCACAATTTAACATAGTAATTTACAAAATTACTAAAATAATCATAGTTTATCTTTAACATAGTAATTTACAAAATTACTAAAATAATCATAGTTTATCATAGTTCATCAAAAGCAGTTTTTCACACGCTGAGGTAAATACTTAAATTATGTAAAGTGCTTATATGTAAATAGCCTACATATATATGTAAAGTGCACAATATAGTTCATCAAAAGCAGTTTTTCACACGCCGAGGTAAATACTTATATATGTAAAGTGCTTATGTAAATACTTAAATTATAAATTATACTGTATGTTCCTCTGTGCGATTAAAGGCCAGTTGTTTGATTATTTAGCGAGAGAACATCCTTTGTACAGGCAAGCTTTTTTATACCACTGTCCTGTAAGAAGAAAACAGATTCACAAAGTTAAAAGAAATGAACAGGATTGATGTTCCAGTTAAACAGACTCAAAGTCTCTACAGTCTATAATGAATCTGATAAACTGAAATCACACTGTCTTTTTTTGTTCTACAATGATGCAGTAAGTTTGAATGCAGTGTCTGAATCAGGAATTCTCACCAGTTACACCTACAACCACCAGCAGAACACCAACACATGCTCCTCCTATAGCAAGAACATACACAACCCAATCTGTAATGAAAAACTAAACAGGCATTTGTTTTTACCAGAGATCGACAATTGATTTTTCAGGTAAGCTATTTCTGATATTTCCACATTCATTAGCTATGCTATCGAGTGAACAGATAAATGTGTTCTAGTGTTTTATCGCCTAAAACAGTGCTAAAAACTAAATTATATTCTGCATTGTTCATTTGCAGACTGGCCACAATTAAAACAAAAACATTGAATTACATGCTCAAGGGAAAATAAACTGAATGACTGAATTTGACTCACTGGTGACAGTTCCATTAAGGCTCTTTCCGCTGATAATGCTGATGCTGTGCTGACGGCGGATGATGATGCTGCCGCTGCTGATCTGCAGTGTATATTCTCCAGAGTGTGTGTTTCTGGTGTGTGTGATGGTCAGAGATCCAGTCTGATGATCCAGCTTCAGTCTGTCTCTGAATCTCTCTTTACACTGAACATCTGTACAGTTCTTACTCTGATCTCCAGTGATTTCAGCGATGAAAGTGTCATTAAAATACCATGTGATCACATAATTTGTGTTTTTTATGACACCAGGATCTAAAGTAAAAGATTCTCCCTCCTTCACAGACTTGGTATTCGTCTCTCCAACAGGAACATCTGAAATAAAAAATAAACATCATCAAAAAAAAAATGTCTGTTATAAACTAGTAAACAAGCTTAAAAGATTATGGTGTGAACATGGAGTGACAATTAAGGAATGGAAAAGACAATACTGGGCATTGAACTGGGGGTATTTATACACAAGAGAATGAAGAACTGTAACAGTTAGTCCACTGGAAGCAAGTTGTAGAATGACTAACAGGGAATCACATGACAAGACATGAAACATGCACCAAAACAAGACCTGACAGGAACTAAATGAACTGAATACAATGAAAGTCTATGAGAATAAATGGGTAACAAATGAAACAGAAATGAAACGAGAGAACAGGGAAATACAAAAACTAAAATCCCTGGAACAGAAACTGAAATCGAAACCAAACATTACACTCTGAAAGTCCCTTCTCTAATAATGAACACATTGTAATTAAATGTGTATAACCGTAGTCTTTAAACATTAATAAATGACTCACCATGGACAGTCATACTAAAGATTGTTTCACTGATGGTGTTGCTGCCGATGATCTGCAGTTTATAGTGTCCAGAGTGTGTGTTTGTGGTGTTCATGATGGTCAGAGATCCAGTCTGATGATCCAGCTTCAGTCTGTCTCTGAATCTCTCAGTGCCTTCATTACACTGAACATCTGTACAGATCTTACTGAGATCTCCATTGATTTGAGCGATGCGAGTGTTATTAAAAAACCATTTAATCTTTTCTTGTTGGTTTGTTTTAACACCAGTGTTTAGAGTGACTGAATCTCCCTCCATCACAAACACTGACACTCTGTCTGTATAAACACCTGATGCACCTGAAGAAATAACAGTTCATTATAAATCACTTACAAATATATGACACAAATATAGTCCAATGTGTTTGTGTGAGCCTTGGTCGAAAAATTTCGATCCTTAGGGTAGACAAAGGTTTTAAAAAATAGATTACAATTAATTTATGCTCAATCATGAGCTATTACATCATCAATTTGAAAAACAAAGTCGCAATGGTTCAATTTCAACACTGAACACAGCATGTGCGTCATGGGTTCTGTCACTTCTGTCTAGTTTATATCTGGGTTTGGTGACAGAGCTCTGACACTCCCGTTTGTCATGTGCTTGTGTTATAGTCATAGCCTGTAAAAAAAATATTAAAGATCCTTCATTCCTGCACTTGAATACTCGCTTCACTATTCCACCCGTGGCAATGTGATGAAATAAGAAATTGGGCACTGCAAAGTATAAAGTGGCACCGTTTTCCTTTTGTCTTTTATAACTATGTTATTGTCCTCTGGCACTGTTTTATTTAATTAGCCTATATTTTAATTGAGATATTTTGTATTTTTAATTTGAATGAATATGTCTCATTGTATTGTTCCCGTTTATGGCAATGATAAAAAAATAAAAAAAAATAAAAAAAGGCACTGCAAGTGCAGATAAGATCCAGCATTTTTCAAAACCATGTTTGATATGGAAAATAAACATGTTAAGGAAAAATAAACAGATTGGGACAGAGTCGGGATAGAATAAAGTATTTTGCACGCATTCATGAAAGCGATATTTGACTTGACCGTTAAAAGGCGCGTCCCCGACCCGACGCTGACTGAAAGAGCGAGAGCTCTCTTTAGCAGTTTAATACGCTTTAATAACACTTTTTAATAGCAAACACACTCCAAAGTGTCGTTACATTATTTAACGGAAATCGTTATAAATATAGATAGATATATAGATATAGCTTATAGATAGATAGATAGATAGATCTCGGCTATAAGCTATTTTCTTATATAACAATTGGAAATTGAAATCGAAACTAATTATGATTATTCCTACTTCCGCATGCCAAATTCTAAGTGTCAACAAAAACCACAGCAACAAAAACAGCAATAATAGCCTATGACTTACCAAGCTGGAAACCCCACACTTGTAGGAAAATGAAGAGGTTCATCGTGCACTTCTCTAAAACTGATTATGTGGGAAAAGAAGCTGTGCTGTGCATTTTCAATGTTGTTGACATTTTGTGGGCGGAAACTGTTGCGGCTCAGTAAGCAGGCTTTTAAAAGATTCGAATCAATTGAACCAATTGCTTCGCAAAATGATTCACTGTTTCGAAGCGTTCTAATCGCCACTGGTGACCCTGCTGTTCGGTGGAAATGCAACAAAAACTCAGTCCAAACATGCATAAAAGCACATTTTACAAACATATTGCAATGTTTTATTGAGAATAAAATATATCAAATGCAATTACCATCTAATAAGATTAAATAGGCTATCATCAGTGTTGGGGTAGTTACTCAAAAAAGGTAATTAGTTACTAGTTACTAGTTACTTCTGTAAATTGTAATGAGATTACTTTACTAGTTACTGCGTTTGAAAAGTAACTTCACTACTTATTACTTTACTTTCCCGTTTCTTAATTTATGGACAAATATCATAGCCCTATCATCACTTTGCCTGTCTACATAGTGTTTATTGTATAAATATATACAAAATGGCATGTAAAACCATATGAAAGAACAATATCCCTGTCTGCACAAGGAAATATATCTCACTGTAAAATCCACAAACAACAGGATAAAGGAGGCTATGGTGCGGTCATTTTAAAATGGGGTCAACACACAAGTTTTAAAACACAGGCTTTGGGAAACATGAGAATAAACTCTTCTCCTGAGAACAAAACAAGCTTTTTATTCGACTCATGGCAATAAAAATAAAAAATGAAGTGGTCAATGAAAAATAATAAAATAAAGGTCACTTTTACATTTTTGATCTTAATTTAAAATGCATTTTTCTTGGCGATTCAATAGTCGGCAGGGGAAGCATTCCTCTACAATGAACCCTGCAACAAGCCTGTTCATTTTGTTTTGTGTTACCTGCTGTGCTCCAAGACTTGAGAAGAGTTTTTGTAACAGCGTGCGCGGCGCCGATTCCGAGGATGAACGACTTCAAGAAGCCGAATCTGCCCGAGCATGTAGCCTACGTCTCACCGTGACCGCATCGGCACACAGTTTGCGTGTCTAAATCAGTTGCTTATGTTTACAAAATGAGCCTACAATAGCATAATAAGCATTTTTAATAGAAAGATCCATGTTTTATCAAATGTCCACGAAACTTAATGAAATGTTTAGTGAAATTAGAAACCATTTAAGAGATCGTTGATTTAGTTCTATAGTCTACATACATGTTTTTATATCCACATTTTGTTCTAATGTCACAAGTAATAATCTCAGGGTTTACTGGATTTTACGTACACGATTCTTTTTGTAGTGTTATTGGTGGTGATGTAGCCTACTAAAATAAACATCGTCACGTGTGGACCTTTCTTCTTCTCACCGTTGATTCCTGATGGTTAAGAGGACAATTACTCGAGTCGCCCCGTCGTTTCACAGAATAGTACAATGGCGAGCGCGTCGAGTATAAACGCCTCGTCCGTTTGGGGAGGTGCGCGTGCAGTCAGCGGAGACTCGCGCTGCAGAGACCCCCTGTCTCCGTCTCCGTCTCCATTTCCCTCTCTCCTTCGCACCGGCAGCTATGTCACTCAAATCGATCTCTATGGCAACGGTGCGCACGCACCACTAGACAGAACTTTACACACAAGCAAACACGGCTTGGGTAACGCAGGAAAGCGCGTTCCTATAGTATAGTAAAGTAGTGTAGTTACCGATATTTTTAGTGTAATGCGTTACTTTACTTCGTTACCCAAAAAAGTAATATCGTTACTGTAATCCGTTACTTTGTAACTCGTTACCCCCAACACTGGCTATCATATGTGTCTGTGTGTTGTTTTTATAAAAGTCTGGGTTTGTTTTGTTTGTTTCATGGATCTATCAGCTAAACAGACTTGTATCTGCTATTATTCATTTTAATCATGCAATGTCTAATTAAATCGTGTGCAAATGTATAAAATTGATCAGAGAGCAGGTAAACAACCATAGAGATCAGTTCAATAGATTGTCGCTGGGGGGCTATCGCATGATTCACAGAGATCATCACCCCACAGCTGTGAACCACTGGTTCTCTTTCATCATCTCGTTTCGAGATCCACCTATGGGAAGGGCATCCGTACCTGACCTCTGCAGAAGCATCCAATTGCACCAAGTCTGGCTAACAGACAGAACGCAAGACAAGACAGCGCGCAGCCACTGCCAGGTAAGGCCACACCCCCTTACCCTAGGCATATAGCTGTCAGGCGCGCTCCTCCCCCTCAGTTGACATTCGCTTCTCGCGATCTCTGCACTGACACAGTTCGGTTGGATTAACGTTACGCTGCTCACTTTCGAGTCTTCAGGAGGACATATCGCCAGATCAGACTCCGCCAGACGTGAGTGACAGTCGTTTCTTCAGCCTATCCACTGTGTTTTTTGCATCCGGAGCCGCCCGAGCTCTCGCTGTCCTTGAATTCGTGCAGATTTATATATCTGCCAACATATCACAGCAAAATCCCCAGTGTTAAATTAACACTCTGAGTGTGGACTCATATAAACACTGAAGCAGTGTTAAAGTTAACACTAAAGCAGTGTTAAAGTTAATGAGATAATTAAGTGAATAATTGAGGGATGATTGAGCATCATTGAAGACACCTGATGATAACAAGCAGAATCACTGAAGGAGAAAACCGTAAGTTTAAGTCACCATTATGGTGATCAGTATTTGCTTTAGTTGGGCTCTTGACCCTTTAATCATTAACTTCAGATTTTGTTTGGCTGCTGTACGTGAATTATAACAGCCAGATGAACATATAAAAAAAGGTGATCTGATGGTGTTGGTTGTGTTTTAACATAATCATTATTTCACAATCATTTGACCTGAATCACTGAACTCATATATGGGGATATATGATATCCCCCACACTGGGGATTTTGCTGTGTAGAGAGCAGATCTCTCTGATCCCATGCATGTCGCCCTGAGGTTGTCCACAAGAGGGCGCCATTGCCTCACAAATCAACCAGTTGGGCTCACACCGCTCAGTTGCGGCTGCCCAGCCCATGCGTTTTTAGTTGACGTTGTGTGTGGAAGGCCGCTGTGTTCCCCAACACAAAACACACACATAACTAAATAACATTTTTAAACAAACGAATTTAATAAATCCGTTACAGATAGAGTATCTCTCTCCGCGGATATTATTTTTTCTGCCTGCACTTGAGACTGCCCAGTTCATGTGTTCGGGAAATATGTGTTTTCCCCCCACTTTCTGGGGGCACCTTCTGAGGGAAAGTTCAGCACAGTGGACACCACACTATGTTCCCCTCACTCAATAAAGGCTTCGGCCCCAGTGTTTGCCCAACACAAAACACAAAGTTAAGAAATCAAATAAATTAGTTTTGGAGAGAAGACCTCTCTCCGCAGAGAAAACTTCTCACTGCAGAGAGAGGAAATCCATCCGAACCCCTGCATGTCGCCTCTAGTGTGCCCACTAGATGGCGCCTTTGCATCATAATTGAACCAGCTGGGCCCATACAGCCCCGCTCCGGCCCGAGCGGGGGCGCTCGCGAGTCACAAAGCGGCTTGGCAAGCCGTTTCAGCGCCCGAGTGGGTTTTTGCGCAACCGTAACCCAGGGTTACAAGCTGCAGTTTGCAATAAAACCTCCGCATTTCAACAAAAAAGAAAAGGCTTTCTCTCTTCTCACACAGAAGAAAACGCCTCACACATTCTGAAAGATGAAATTTCCCCCCTCCTAACAAGGGAGCGATTCAGATGGTGCCACCAAATCTGATAAACCATGGTTTTTATTCCTGGTATTTTCATGTTCCAAAGGGCGTGGCGCCCCCCGCCCTATATTGGACCTTCGAGTGTTATACAAACATTTGAGGAAATACAATTTCAGAATGTGACACAAGGCTCTCTCGCCTGTGCCATAAAGCAGAACAACTGGTTCACATCAGTCGATCTGAAAGATGCTTTCTTTCACATAAGCATCTACCCTCCACACAGGAAATATCTTCGTTTCGCCTACCAAGGCATTTCTTACGAATTCACAGTTCTTCCGTTCGGGCGCAATTTGAGTCCCCGAACTGTGTGCGGAGGTGGGCGTGGCGCCCCTCAGGCTGCAGGGTCTCATGGCTTCATTTATCCAAGTTGTGCCGTTGGTCTCCTGAGAATGAGAGCGTTCACGAAATGGGTTTTGTCACTACATTTCAGCCCGATTCGCGATCTCTGCCGCTCGGTAACGGTGACGCGCGCCTGCTCGTCTTTCTGGGCCTGCTCGTCTTTCTATATGGAAATATATCTCCCGTTGGGAGAGCGAGAACTTTTACGCACGGGGAACCCCCCTCGGGACGGTTACGATGCGGAAAGTTGTGATGACAGATGTGTCCTTAACAGGCTGGGGAACCACCGAGGAAGGCAGAATGGTGAACGGTCTGTGGCTAAGCAGACTACGTTCAGCGCACATTAACTATTTAGAGCTTTTACCATTTGGAAAGCTCTGAATCATTTTCTGCCTTGCCTGCAGGGACATCCCGTTCTAGTACGGTGCGATAATACCAATGCAGTGGCTTATATCAACCGTCAGGGTGGCATGCGCTCGTCGAAACTCCACGCTCTGCCTACAGGCTTTTGGTGTGGAGCAGAAAGGTTTTTCTGTCATTACGCGTGACTCATGTCCCAGGCATTCTGAACAGAGGCGCGGATCTGCTATCGAGGGGAAACCCAATCTACGGGGATTGGCGTCTTCACCCTCAGATAGTGGAGAGGTTATGGATGAGATTCGGACAGGCAGCCGTAGATCTTTTCGCCTCGCGCAAAAATCACCTTTATCCTATGTTCTTCTCGCTAAAGGACGTGGACGCGCCCCTCGGGGCAGACGCACTGGCCCACCCATGGCCCAAAGTGCTGCTGTATGCTTTTCCTCCCCTGTGCCTGATAATTTTCGCACTGGCCAGGGTGAGAGAGCACGGCCTGTCTCTCATTCTGATAGCACCCAGGTGGCTCAAAGCCCCGTGGCTGGGAGACATAATCCCTC